CTTATTATTCAGCGCTATGCTGCACTATGCAACACTGTGCAGCCATATGGTTTTACCACGTGGCTTATCATACCATCTACGAGGTTTTCTAGAAACAATTGAAGAAGTTTTCCCAAATTCTACTATGGCCCAAAAAAATGTTATAATTACAATTTTTTTTTAAAGATTAAGTTAATACATTTTGGGGTGTATTTTTGTACTTCTTTTAAAATATTTTTTAAATAAAAAAAGATTTCATACAAAAATTCATTCCAAATTTGGTTATCATAGATTGTGTACCTTACCTTTCTAGTACAAAAGAAAAAAAGTGAAGGAAACATAATGGAAAGAAGGGTATAACCGTAAATTCAAATTTTAAATAATATATTAAATTTACATTTCTAAAATCAATGGGACTAATTGGTCTATAAAAAAATTCTTAGGACTAAATAGATCATCATTTCTCAAAATGAGGTTTATAAGTAAAATTTTCATTTAAGGGATCACCCTTGATATGAAATTAAATTTGTTAATTGACCAATATTTTTTATTTTTTTTTAAAAGTATATTTAAGTGATTGGCTCCCTTATAGCATAATTTCCACCGACTCCAATACTTCACTTGTATTAACTAAAGGTAAAAATGTTGATTAAAGTTGCAAACATATAATCTATGGTGAAATGGGAACTTGGGTGTTGTGAGGGGGAAAAGATGAAGTAAAGTGGTAGTGATTATTAGTAACTATTATGTCACCCATATGCTTCTATTTTCCACTTTTCACAATTTCATCCCCCAGCAGCATAATGATTACCTCTGAAACAATATATTTGATTCTTCAAACTTTTGGGATGAGATATTATACAATGACAAAAATTAGGAACCCAAAAAAGTGATCAAAAAAAAATTCAGATATTCAGATGTGTGGTGTGTATTTAAATCTCTTGTTGTAGGACATGAATCATCGATTGTAAATTCTGAATTGCTAATCGGTCATACACAATAGTGAAAGTGCATATCTTGTCTACCATCCACAAATGTGAATTAGATAGTTTAGTGGGTCTATGGGCTTTGAGCAATTTATTTTTGTAAGTTTTTATGTGTAGATTGTTTGTGAAAAATAAATTTATTATTTTATTTTATTATTATATTTATTTTAAAAAATTTGAACAGTCTATTTTAAAATAATTGTTAATTTCCTTTTTTTTCTTTTGAAAAAAATACTAAAAAAAATTGTTACACTTAATCAATTTGATTTTTTTTTATAAATAATATATCATAACAAAATAAACAAACCGAATCATTAAATTCTCCAATACATGACTTGTGAAATGGAGCTCCTTGTATAAAAACTAATTAAGAAATAGAATTGGTTATGTATTTAGGATCCATATTATACAGCTGTTGTTGGTATCATTTTCGATTTTCGTTCATAAAAAGTAAAAAATTTATTTTAGCAAATTAATTGTTTTTGACAATTTTTTTTTTTTTTTTTTTGAAAAAAGGAATTTGAACACACCTTTTGTTGAGGAAATACTTTTACATCATTTTCTAAATTATAAAAGATTATTTTTCACGCAAAAATAAAAACAATGAGGGTTTCTGAACTTTTCATTATTTTATTTGTAAAAACATAAAAAATAAAAACAAAAATTCAGAAAAAATAGTATTAAAAAAAAGAGAAAAAAAGAAATTGATATGGAAAACTTCTCTGGCGAATGTTTTCAAAATATTAAACTAAAAATGATAAATGGTGTAAAGTTTAAATTGATGCAGAATAGCTAGTTTAGTAGTTCATATAATTGTCTATTGGGATAGTGAAAATGTCAAAGATTCAGGATTTGAATCGATGAAACGATTGTGACCATTTCGTTGTAATTTAACTTATTAACCCGACATTCTATCGTGTAAACAAAAAAATAAATAAATTTTAAATTGATTTGAAAAATGGAAACATAAAAGAAAAATGAAGTCAAAAGGAGTTATAATCTTGAAGGAGAAGCAAAGACACAAGTCAATCCGCCATTCACGGGAAAAAAATGAAATTGATAGAATTGTGTTGCTTTTTTGGTATTTAATTGCTGAAAAATGCTTGGGAGCACTAATTAGTGCTCCCACTAATTAGGTGGCAGTGGGTCCCGCCATGAATGATGTGATGTTTTGGTCTTGGAGTTGTAATTTTTTTTATTTTTTTTTATTTTTTTAATGCATTAGTGCTATTAGTGGTGATGTTTTTAATGGGATGAATCATTATTGTTAATTGCTTTACCATATCCCTAATTCTTGCATATGGCCCTACCTTACCTATCTTCTTCCTCCTCTCTTACATGTATAGTGGTTCACCAACTTATCATAACAAAGTCTTCACCATTGAAATTCTTGGGTCCCCCATTAAATAGTGCCCACTATCTGTCTAATTTGAAATTGAACAACTCCGAATTTTGAGGGAATTGAAGAAAGAATCGCGGAAAAAAATTAGGATTTTTGGCTTAATAATTGTGTAGTACTAATTTGTGATGTGAGATTACAAGTTCAACTCTATATGGAGGAGTTTGAATTCTTTATAGTGCTTATATTTTTTTTTATTATGGATGTGAGATTACAGGTTCAACTCTATATGAAAGAGTTTGAATTCTTTATAGTGCTTATTTCTTTTCTATTATGGTAGTTGGATTTGGTGATTGGTTTGCTAAGCTTTGTTACTTTCTAACTATTGTTGAGAGGCAAGTGATATGTTTGATGTAATATTTTTTATATTTATAATTATTCTCTATCGAATGACCCCAAAAAAAAATAAGTGAGAGTTGGGTTGAATTTGGTCCACGTAGTTTCATTTATATTGATGTTATTTTTATATTTTTCAATTTATTTTAATGTAATTTATAATATCCATTAAAAAGTTAGATAAAAATCAAAGGTTGGATGATCTATTTCAAAAGAAATTGACCATTTTAAATTGGATGTCAACCTCCCAATTACGAAATCTTCTATTTTCACACATTATTTTCTCTTAGTTCACGCACCCGTTATAGTTTGTATAGTTTGGATATTAACTTCCAAACAAAATTACAAGTTTAAAAATCAACTTTTCAATGAAAATCTATAATTCGGAAGTTGATTTCCAAACCAAAGATATAGTTGAACCATAAGTTTTATTTGGAAAGATGATTTTCAAAATATATAATTTTGTTCGAAAGTTGATATTTGAACAAAAAAAAAGTATGTGCACTGAAAGAAAGTGATGTATAGAAAAGGAAACTCACTGTCAAACTCAGAGTGGGAATAGTCTATTTTATCCCTTGATTTTAATATAATTTCTAAATGGCGTTATCAATTAAACTAATTTAACATAATATGGAAAACTCAAAGATAAATTAGAACTATAATTATCAAATTAACATAAGAAGCAACCAACAAGGACTATGAATTTAATTTGCCCTTTTTCTTATATGACGGGGAACCCCCAAGTAGAGTCATTTTGGACTCAATCCTATCAGGTGTGCTCTAGAAAGTAATATTATGTAAAGTAATATTATGTATTCAGAAAATAAAATGAGTGAATTAAATATATTTTTAAAATTACTCACAACATATAAAATTTATATATTTGTATTATTATTTTTCAATGTACTTTATGGGTATAGTGGATTTTTCCATCATTTTAACTTGGTGGAGATGGTGACGTTTGCATTGCTGGTAGTGGAGCATTTAATAGTGTTACAAATTTAGAAAAATATTCTAGAATTTCAAATTTATGGTCAAAATTCACTAAAAAAAAAATTTCACAATAATTATAAACGTACATCATTGATCTACAATTTTGATAAATTTATGAAGATTTTTTTGGTACCATAAACTTTCTACTAATAGTGCAGTGCAGTGAGGATATTCTAGTAGTGGTGTAATCTGCAAGAACTAATAATTTTATTTATTTATTTTTAAAGTAATGCTTTTATAATTAGAGTATAGAGCTTTATGTTAAAAAAGGAGAAAGACAAAAGAAAAAGAAAAAGTCAAATATGCACACTTATTTTGATTGCCTTTCTCAGTGTCCCTCTGTCACCATGACTAGAGGGGTCATTGGTCCCCATGAAAACTATACAGGATTCAATTCAACTACAAAAGGCCATGGATGTGCCACTCTTTCATCCCATCATAATGCTTTGTCCAATTAATTTAATTAATAAATTCTTCACTTTTGGTTAGTAACCTATTGGTTTAATTGATCAAAGAGTGCCATGATGAGAAGCACAAGGAGACCAACTCTAAAATTAATTTTTATTATATTTTTTTTACATTTAGTGTGATGAAAAATAAAAATAGAAGAATACATATTTACGATTAACAAAAAATAAATTAATTTAGGCAGAAAATATATATATATTTTTTTTAATATAAAAAATATTTTCAAAATTAAAGTTTTACCAACAAGACCACTACCACCACACCCCTTACAGCCACCACCATTGCTACCAAAACTACCCTCTACCACCAAGACCTCTCTACCACTGCCATACAGTTATCATTATTGTCATTATTGCTGTTGCCTCTACCACCACCCCCATAACTATTGTCATCGCCAACATCACAATTACTATCACATCATTTTCAATTGATCAAAGAGTGCCATGATGAGAAGCACAAGGAGACCAACTCTAAAATTAATTTTTATTATATTTTTTTTACATTTAGTGTGATGAAAAATAAAAATAGAAGAATACATATTTACGATTAACAAAAAATAAATTAATTTAGGCAGAAAATATATATATATTTTTTTTAATATAAAAAATATTTTCAAAATTAAAGTTTTACCAACAAGACCACTACCACCACACCCCTTACAGTCACCACCATTGCTACCAAAACTACCCTCTACCACCAAGACCTCTCTACCACTGCCATACAGTTATCATTATTGTCGTTATTGTTGTTGCCTCTACCACCACCCCCATAACTATTGTCATTGAAAACATCACAATTACTATCACATCATTTTCAAGGTTGCGGTCAAACATAAGAGAAAAAAAATCGACAAAATATTTTCTGAAAAAAAAAAATTCTCAGAAAATATTTTCCCAAGAGAGTAAATATACAACTTATTAAATTGTTCATATTACGAAGTACAAAATCAAACTCTCATACTTCTGATTTCCAAAGCATGAAAACTATGAAAAAAAACACAAGCAAACCCATAAATTAATCTATACTTCCCAATTTTTTTTTTCTTTTCCTAGTAAACCATACAATATAATCAAACATGCATTGAACATCACTTGATATCTTGTAGATGAAATCTCAAGGCACATACTCTTCTTGACTCTGTTGGAACTCCTCTTGGTTCTGGTACCCCTCCATGTTGTTGTTGTTGTTGTTGTTGTTGTACTGATTATATGAGTTCACATTGCTCCCATAATACCCCTTGTTGTATCCATTTTGGTAATTATTTTCACTCCGGACATCAAAATAGTACTTCCCATTTTCCACAAACCTTGTGTCACTCATGCCTTGCCTCTGGGTATTGTAGTTGGTGTTGGTGTTGGTGGTGGTAGTGGGGGTGGTGGTGGTTGTGTAGTGGCTGTCCATGAGGCTTGTGTCACTCAAACCTTGTTGCTGAGCATTGTAGTTGTTGGCTCCATTGTAGTAGTTGGTGTTGGTGTTGGTGGAGGTGGTGGGGGTGGTGTAGCCTTGTTGCTGAGAATTGTAGTTGTTTTCACCATTGTAATAGTTGTTATAGTTGCTGATTGGGGTGGTGTAGCCTCTGTCAGTGAACCTTGTGTCACTCATGCCTTGTGGGTCAGATTCAGTCACATACGCATCCTTCTTGTAGTAGTTGTTGCTGTTGGTGGTGGTGGTGGAGGGGGTGGTGGTGTATGCTGTGTTCGTGTATCTGGTGTCACTCATGCCTTGTGGGTCAGACTCAGTCACATAACCATCCTTGTTGTTGTAGTAGTTGTTGTTGTTCTTGGTGTTGGTGGTGGTGGTGGTGCTAGGGGTGGTGGTGTAGACTGTGTTCATGTACCTAGTGTCACTCATGCCTTGTGGGTCAGACTTAGTCACATATGAATCCTTATTGTTGCTGTTGGTGTAGTAGGTGTAGGGTTCTTCAGATTGGGTTTTGTATGGGCTGTTGTTGTTGGTGGTGGTGGTGGTGGTGGAGGGTGAAACAGTGGTGGGGGTGGTGGTGGAGGGTGAAGCAGTGGTGGTGGAGGGGGGGAGTTGGCCAGACTCATGGCCATAGAGGCCATAGCCAGTTTGATTGTCTGGGATGAAGCTTGGCTGTTGTTCTTGTTGTTTGTTGGGGACTTCTACTACTGTCTCTTTGGCATTGTTGTTGTTGTTGTTGGTGACTTTGCTGAAGAATTGGCTGTCTCTGGCATGAATGAGGTGAGGAGATAAGAGGGCAAGAAAGAAGAGGAATGATAAGTGTTTGGCAGCCGAGAAAGCCATGGATATGGATAGAGAGAGAAAGAGGGGGTGATGGCTGGTCCTTAGGAAATGTTGTGATTTTCCTTCCTTTATATAGGGATTGACATAGTTTTCACTAGGAATGGAAATCGGTATATTTCGTAATCAAGGGTTAAAAAATATTCATATTAACATATATTTCCATTTTAAATTCTAAATTTATTTACATTGTGTTTGGATTATGTATTTGAATAACAATTTAGAAAGAACAAAAAAATTGAAATATAGTTATAGTTTATTCACATTTCTCTCATCTTTTCATTTTTAATTTCCAAATTTCTATTCAAAAACACAATCCAAACACAGTTTTAAGAAAAGTTTTCAAATTCAAAATGAAATATTGTGATTATAAATTATTAATTTTATATTAAATAATGTTAGGAATGGTAAAAAAAATTACCAACAAACACATTTGGGAAGTCTTGAACTTGGGTTTTTTTTTTATTTTTTTCACAAAAAGACAAACTTTTTGCAAAATAAAAAAAAAAACACATCCAAACAAAATATCACATCCAACCCCATAATCATTTCACTTTTTCTCTCACAAAAATCATATCCAACCACAAAAAAACCCAATTATCTTCCCAAACACAAAAAAAAAAAAAAAAAATCCAAGAATATCCTATAACTAAAAAAATTTACATAAAAACTCACTTCCCAAACACCCACATTGACTAGACATAATATAGGAATTAAGATTATATTCATTACATTAGATAGAATGAAGATTTTCATTTCATAATCAAAGACTATCAAAGATTTAGATTAAAATACTTTCATTATAAATTCAAAATTTATTTAAGGGAACTTTTCAAACTTAAAACGATATTGTAATCATAAATTATTAATTTTAAAATTTAATAATTATAGGGACACTAACAAACATACTAACTAGATATTATTAGATAAGCTCTATATTAAGTATTGCGACCTATATACATATCTTGAGTTTTGATCAATCCCAGAAACTTCTAAAATTAATAACCGAATAAATCTCCAATAATTCTTTGAAAGATTCTAATTTGCGATTTTAGATACTATTTTCAAGTCTTTACAATCTTTTGGGGTTAGAATTTCCTTTTCATATAGAATTTTCTTTTTTTTAATTGCATGATACTGATTAGATATTTACAGTTCTCTCCTTCATGTACTGAATAATTGTTACATATAAAACCCTTGAGATGGCCTGCACTATTGATCCGACCCTTAAAGATTTATATTGAATTATTAATTTGTGTCTCTCCATTTTTTATGAACAGGACTATAGAACATAATTATGGTCTTTATCTTTGTCCTTAAGATTCAATCATGTGACTCATAAGCATGTCCCAAATAGCCTAATTACAAAAACTGATTTTTTTATATCCCGCTCATTTCTTAATTCGTGACTTTCAAAGAAAATAAAATTCAGTGGAGAAGTTGAGGTAAATTACAATTCATAGGTTCCACAGTCCACTACTGAGCTATCATAGTTGTTAAGCTAATGAAGAATCCCGAGGAACCCAATTCTTTAATAGTGTGTTTGATCGAAGGATTTGAAGATAAATTTGAAAAGGAAAATAGGAAAGGTAGGTAAAATATGAAAAAAATATACATATATTTCATCTAGTTTCACATACCATTTCTTTTTTCTTTTTCAAATCTCTCCCTAAATCTCCTAACCAAACACAACATTAATGTTTGTTTAATTATGGGCAAATTACAAACACCCCCTCGAGATTTGGTGAAAATATAGATTCCTCCTGAGATTTGAGAAATTATATCCCGCCCCCTGAAATTTATATTTCTATAACAAATTGTCCCCTGAGGTTTTTATTTTCATACAGATTTCTCCCTAATTTGTTATGCAAATTTGACCTTCAAAGGGTAATTTTTATAATTTCTCAAACCTCAGAAAGAATCTGTATTTTTACCAAATCTCGATGGAGTGTTTGTAATTTGGCCTTTAAAGATTTATTATTATTAAGTTTTATAGGTTGAATTTCTTATCCACCCAAAAAAAGGTTGAATTTCTCTCGAAACTTGATGGTCATATTTGGCCTCGTGAGTCCATCCCAAGTAATATTTTAATAATTTTAATAATTTATTTTGTAAAATTTATTTCTGAAACAAATTAAATCAATTCAATAATTATAATCTTTTTATTTTATCGCATTTATTTAAAAAAATATTAAAAAAAAATTTAATTAAAAATAATTGTTAGGATCAATAAATAACTACAACTCATTCAAAACTCCAGTGTATTTTATTTTTTTATTTTTTTAGAGGGTGGAGGGTTGAAACCCCATTACAAAGATCTGGGAACATTATTAAGAACAGCAGAGGCAAACTCGGGAAAGGAAAATGTTTGAGGGCCACAAAATCAGTGGCTCAAATGGCTCAAAACTGTCAAAACGACGTCGTTTTGCGTCGTTTTGCATCCAAAACGACGTCGTTTTGACAGTTTTGAGCCATTTAAACCACTGTTTTTGTGGCCCTCTAGCATTGCCGCTCAGGAAAAACATCTTCCATCCAAATGCGCTTTGCATAGATCATTTTTGCCGATTGAGCTAAACAATACACTTACGCTACATGATTACCATCACACTGAACATGAGAGATACAGAAACTTTGAATTTGGTTAATTCAGCTTCTTACATTTTTAAGCTATAGCGATAGACTTCAAAAAGTTTCATACAACTCAATAAAATACCGCAAACAAGGATACAAATCAAAGGGATGAGAATTATTTTGGGAATTTGGAGATGTAAAAAATCAAATTTGCCAGGAATACAACAGTTAAACACATAAAATATACATGTATGGTCAAAGATTTTTGTATATATATGTATATATATTAGCTTAAGTTCATTTCTAAAAAATGTTGTTTATCTATATATGTTTTATGTCCGATTTTATAATTAATTTCGCTGTTGTTAAATTTACAGAAATGATATTGTTCTAGACATATCATCCCAAAATTTTTTGGGTAATATGTTTTTGTGGTAAAAATTAAATTAGTATAATATAAGGTCCACTTATGAATAAATCTAAGTAATAAATTATATTTATAAATAAAACTCGATATAAAATTTTTAATTTTATAATATTCCTGATAAATTTATTAGTAAAAAGATATATATGTGTGTGTATAGGGTTGGGCGGGTAATTATGCGGGGATTGTGCAGTCTGGGTGGGGACATGCCAAAATAAAAATAATAATAATAATAATGGCATTAATCAAGTGCATACACCATGTGCCCTCTAAAAAGTTTTGTCCATCTACTATTTTCCTCTTTCCAATGGCCACCACCTAAAGCCTTTTACCTGTCAAGGATTGCTTGTTGGGCCCCACCACCTAACCCTCTCAATCACACCACTCTCTCATGCTTTGCTATCTCAATGGCTTACACTCCCATGCCATCATATTTGGCTATTGGGCAATGACACCCATCCTTAAAAGTGATGCTTTAAAGTATTACCAGTGAGTCGGCACATATTTAAAATAAATAAATAAATAAATTATAATAAAATTATTATTACATCATTAATATGTTTTATGTCCGATTTTATAATTAATTTCGCTGTTGTTAAATTTACAGAAATGATATTGTTCTAGACATATCATCCCAAAAATTTTTGGGTAATATGTTTTTGTGGTAAAAATTAAATTAGTATAATATAAGGTCCACTTATGAATATATCTAAGTAATAAATTAATATTTATAAATAAAACTCGATATAAAATTTTTAATTTTATAATATTCCTGATAAATTTATTAGTAAAAAGATATATATGTGTGTGTATAGGGTTGGGCGGGTAATTATGCGGGGATTGTGCAGTCTGGGTGGGGACATGCCAAAATAAAAATAATAATAATAATAATGGCATTAATCAAGTGCATACACCATGTGCCCTCTAAAAAGTTTTGTCCATCTACTATTTTCCAAAGGCCACCACCACCTAAAGCCTTTTACCTGTCAAGGATTGCTTGTTGGGCCCCACCACCTAACCCTCTCAATCACACCACTCTCTCAAGCTTTGCTATCTCAATGGCTTACACTCCCATGCCATCATATTTGGCTATTGGGCAATGACACCCATCCTTAAAAGTGATGCTTTAAAGTATTACCAGTGAGTCGGCACATATTTAAAATAAATAAATAAATAAATTATAATAAAATTATTATTACATCATTAATGTTATAATTAATTAGTGGTTTTAATCATTTTTCTTTGACTATTTGTTATTTCTGTCATACAATATGTGAATTCAGTATGATAAAATAATATTGGACAATTTTAAAAAGTAAGTATATACAGTATTATCATTCAATAATAATTTATATATTGAGCTCCTTTTATATTCATATCTTAATATAAGAGAATTTAAAAAGTTATTAAAACTCACTATATATCTCATTTTGATAATATGAACTTGAGATAAATCTAATCCATAATTTATTATAATCCTGCTTGAAATTTGGATTATAAAATAAATTTATGAAGAGAAAATCCTATAACTACAACATCTTCTTAGTGAGGTTCACTATTCACACATGCCATTGACAACGTAATATATCTTTATTGTATTGAATTTTTTCCTTTTTTGCCTCACACTATGAATTTTAAAAATCCAATCTTAATATCTACCTAAAGTGAGTCTCTCAAAATAAAAATATCACACCATATTAAAATATGACATTAATATGATTAAAATAACACAATGTACTGAGGCCAAATTTGGAAAGATAAGAAAAAGTCAAAAAGTTAAAAAGTTACTCAAAAAGTTAAAAAGTTAACATTATTCACCAAAAATTAACAATTACGGCTGCAAAACCCCTAATCCTAATTTTTCCCTACAAATTAATTTTTACAATTTTTTAATATACATTTTTCCATAAAAAGTCAAAAAATTAACCCAAATATCCATATTTTTTTTTCTCAATTTTTTAGTCTAAAAAGACAAAATATACACTTATTTAGAACACCCTAAACAACCCCTAGATAATGGGAATAATAGCTTAAAAGAAGGAAGCCCCCTTTCTATTCCATGATAAAAGAAGATA